AGAATAAAATGACAAAATTTAAGAAGGCAAATCTAATGAATATTTATGATAAGATAGTCGTCGATCACTTATTTTATAAGGAATTATGTAGTTCATTAAGGAAACCAGCAGAATTACTCAAACATCGTACTTATGAAATTGAACAACACGAACTATAAAGGATTATTTATAAATTTTTTGTTTAAACTGACTTACAAAAATTAATCTATTATGAGTAGCCATTTTCTATTATAAGACGGTAAAAAATTATTAAGCAGTTTATTTTTAATCTGTTCAAGTTAATTCTCATCGTACTTGTACGCTTCTCTAATTTTGTGGATTAATATATCTATATTCTTTGTGTTTTTTGGTATTATTCCATATACAGAAACACAAAAATTCCTATCTCTGTAAAATCCATCGTAATGCAATGCAAATTTAATGAAAAATAATGTGATCCTTTATCGAAAAATGTGCAGAGAACTGTATAATATTGAAAAATATGTATATGCATTTGAATCGCGCTTACAAGTCTGTCCGCTATGTGGCGTGCGACGGAAATAGTTACTCGCTTGACAATTTATTTATGGAAAATATAAATACAGAAATACATTTCGACGCGTAGGATTGTAAAAAAAGATGAATAAAGATTTTCCGCAGATTTCAGTCTTCTATACTTGTCTCTGCACAATTCTTAGCTATTTTTCGATAAAAAATCACATTATTATTTTTCATTAAATTTGCATTACATTATGATGGATTTTACAGTGAGACAGAAACTTTTGTGTTTCTGAATATGGAATAATATCGAAAAAGACAAAGAGAAGATAGATGTATTAATCGACAAAATTATAAAAAAATACAATTACGATCAGGACCAACTTAAACAGATTAAAAAAAAACTACTTAATAACTTTGTATCGTCTTATAATAGAAATGGAACATGGCTACTCGTAATAGATTAACTTTTATAAGTCAGTTTAAACGATTTATAAATAATCTTTTTATAGTTCATCTTGTTTCAACTTCACATGCACAATGTCCGAGTAATTTTGCCAGTTTCTCAAATGAATTACATAATTCTTTATAAAATAAGCGTGGTCGACGACATTTATTTTATCAAGAAGGTTCAGTTAGACAAAACTAAAAAGAGACGCATTCAAGAACTTCTCGAAAAATACAGAGATAAAGAGATAACACGGGCAGCTGATTCTTTGCCTTCCAATTCTATTAATCAGCATGTTTCTGAAAAGAAAATTGAAAAAACTGAAAGATATATAAACGGTCCTTTAACTATATACATAGACTTAGAAATAACAAGGGATAAGTATGAAAAACTGCGTATGCACAATGAAAATTTGCACGGAGACAAGTTATATCCTCCTTATGAAAACATTAGGAAAGCAAAAAGAAAATGTTATCCAAAAGACATTATTGTAACAGAAAATGGAGCGAGTGTCAAGCTGCAATCACTATTAGACCATACTGTGCATAGAATATTTTTAACATTAGATAAAGAAACGTTACAAGCATTGAACAATAATGAATTGTTTTATATGGGAAATGGAGCATGGATGGTACTTCCAGTCAACAAACTACAAGACAACATGGTCAGAACAAAAAAAAGTTTCCGTGAATAATCGATCAAACGACAGTGATAATAATGCATCTGATGATAACGATGCATATGAAGAAAACTTATTTGATAGAGTATTTATTATTTCATTCGTTCCTATTCATTTAATAGCTAATAATGTTGTTGTGTGGCTAAATGAGCAGCCATCCTCGACCAGATATTGCTGGCTTAAATTTGAATTCATAAAAGAAAGTGCTATGAATACTTTAAATGAATACAAATTTTATGACGAAGAAATTGATAAACTTGCTACAACACATATAATTATTGTAGACAGAACATATGAAGTCACGTACAATCTTAATTACACTGATTGATGGTAAGACGTGCAATGTTTTAACTAATCAGAAGTCTTCAAGCTGTAATGTGTGTAAGGTTAATCTAAGCAAAATTAATAATATATCATTTATTAAAAATTTGCCATGTAATGAAGATAGTTACAAATTTGAGCTTTTTACTCTACACTGCTGGATCCGTTTTATGGAGTGTTTATTACATATTGTCTACAATTTAAATTTCAAAAAATCGTATGCAACGAAAGATAATAAAATTAAAAAAAAAAATGAATAAAAAATCTTTGAAATTTAAACTTTCCATAGCAGTAGACGTAGTAAACCAAGGTTATGGAACAACAAATACTGGTAATGTAGCTAGATGTTTTTTCTCACATCCTCAAATTTGTAGCTGAAATGAGCTGGATTAAAAGAGAATTTAATAATAAGATTCAGAGATATTTTGCAAGCACTTGCTAGTAGATGTAAAATTGACTGCATTAAGTTTAAAGAATATTGTACTGGGACAGCTAAATTATATATACAGTTTTACTCCTGGTACAATATGTCCGTCTGTACATAAAGTTTTAATTCATGGTCACGAGATAATTAGAGCATGAGATGTATCAATTGATAGACTATCAGAAAAAGCACAAGAAGCAACAAATAAGGTATTTAGAAATGCTCGTACAAATAACAGTAGAATGTGTTCACATAAAGCCAGTACATAATGCATCTTCTAATTTCCTTTGATCATTGATCAGTAACATCAAAATAAAACGAGATAAAAAAAGTACAGAATCTGAAGGTGCAAAATCATTATTAATTAATTATAAGAAAAAATGTTTTAATTCAAACATAACTCACAAAAAATGTGAAGAATTATGTACAGATGTAAATTAATTTTTGTTTATTATTTTAAAGTAAAAAATATAAAATGTAACAAAAAATATTAAAAAATATTAAAAACAAAAAAAATATATATAAAGGGTGTCACTTAATTGGTGCCCACTACTATTTATATAGCAATATTCCTCGTGAAAAACAGAGTCGAAAAGTCCTGAACCATTTTTTTCTATAATAAAAAAAATTTGAAACCATTTTTTTTCTATAATGCGAAAAACTTTATTTTGCATTAAAAACCATATTTCTTCCGTTAAAAGCGTTTCCTTAAAGAAAATTTCATCAAGAAGACTAAAGGTGTTTATTGACGCAACTTTATTCAATAATTACCGCTTTATTAAGCATTATAGAGAAAAATGGTTCAAGACTTTTCGACTTAATTTTCCACTAGGAATATCGTTATATAAATAGTGGGCGCCAATTAAGTGACACTCTGTATATAAAAATTAAAAAAACAACTCTTTTTATGACTGATACCTTAACGTTGATGAAAGAGCTTATTTATTGTTTCATGATATGCACTTATATAATATTCATATTATAAAGCAATAGAACAAAAGTCAGTTTTTATAGAAAAAAGATCCATGCTTTCTGAAAAAAGATAGTTAAAGAAATACTTTTTTCTATTAAATTTATATGCTAAAATAATTATGATTAAAATTAATTAAATTTAATTTATTGTTTAAATAACATAAATATGTTTGTAACGTAAATAAAAATTCCTTTATACTTTTTTTTTAATTTAAAGATACGTTTTAACCAAAAAATATTTTTATTTTAATTTTGATGCAAATCCAGATACTTCTAACTTTTTGAATATGGAAGTTCAGTTTAAAAAATCTAACCTTTAGATTCATATAATCAATAATCATAAAATTACAACCTTATTACAACCAAACGTCCACAGGTCTCTAACCCACCAATATGTATGGAAAATGGAGCATGGGCAAAAAACAATGCAGACAAGGCCGAATTATTTGCAAAACACTTGGAAAAAGTATTTACCTCTAATCCTATAATAAATCTATACGAGAAAGAAAAAGAAATTCTCCAATATTTTGACACGAAATGTCAGCATGAGGCAAAGATAAATAAATTCCATTAAAGAAGTAAAAAAAGTTATCTTAACGGACCTGAACATTAAGAAAAGCCGAGGATACGACTTAATAACCGGCAAAATCCTAAAAGAACTCCCTGACGTGGGTTTCAAATTTTTGACCCAACTCTATAACGCTGTCTTAAGAAACAACTTCTTTCCCCTACAGTGGAAAGTTGCGAAAATCATACTGATACCCAAACCAGGGAAAAATCCTGAGTTGGTCACGTCATATCGTCCAATAAGTCTACTGCCAATCGTATCTAAGAGTCTCGAAAAGCTACTCCTCAAAAGGCTTCTGCCAATTATCGATAAGGATAACTTGATACCAAACTACCAATTCGGATTCCGGCAACAACACTCCACGATCAAACAAGTCCATAAGATAATCAACAAAATTCACCACAGTTTTGAACACAAACTACTATACTCAACGGTTTTTCTTGCCCAAGCGTTCGATAGAGTTTGGCATACCGGTCTTTTCTATAAAATAAAAAAATACTTGCCAGGTAGCTTTTATCCAATTCTCAAATCATATCTTGAAGATAGATATTTCCAAGTAAACTTCCAAGACACAATAACAAACTTTCACCAAATAAAAGTTGCGTACCACAAGGCAGTGTCCTTGGTCCAATTTTATACCTACTGTTCACGAGTGATCTTCCTATAATATCTCAAATAACAGTTGCTACATACGCTGATAATACTGCCATCTTAGTTACTAGTGAAAACCCTGTAATTGCCTCTCAACTTCTACAATCGAACCTTAATAGAATACAAAATGGCTAATGAAATGGCGTATCAAAATCAACGAATCCAAATGTGTATACATAACATTTACGACAAAGAAAGATTACTGCCCACTAAGCTACTATAACCCTAAATAATCACATTATCCCGCAATCTAACGAAATTAAATATTTAGACATTTACCTGAATCGCCGTTTAGCCTGGCAAAAACACATATTCACTAAGCGTAAACAACTAGGGCTTAAGCTTAGAAACAATAGAACTTATATACATGGAAGAGGAATAGCCTGTATTTCGTATAGCCAAAATTGTCCTTAACATCTGTGCGACAAGGACAGATAGAGCCTGACTTTTGTTCGCTATGCGCACGCGCGTCACCGAACGACGCTTGCGCGTATATAAGGTTAGACATAAACATCTGTTATGGCCAAGCGAGGATAACGTGTTTGGACAACTGAACTGTTAGCGAAATGGGCAAATATTGTTTGTTGTGCGGTAATCTGACAAACAACAAAACTGTATCTTATCACAGGTAAGACAATTTAAGTGTCTTTTTATAGATTATATGCGTTTCAAAATATGTTTCCTGTAAATGAAATATGTATAGCATAAAAATAAAACGTTTATATATAATGTTATTTCTTTACAGATTTCCGAAAGATAAGGACATTAGAAAAAAATGGCTATCTTTCTGTGGAATCAAGGAAGAAGTCCTTAATACCGCAACTTTCTTATGCTCACAGCATTTCAAGAAAGAAGATTTAAAACAAAAATCAAATAGCTTTAGTTTAAATACTGGATCAATACCATCCATTTATGATATAAAGAAAAAAAAGAAAAGGTAACTTTTTAGAGTTTTGAATAAAAATAGTTATTAATGTTTATCTGTGTCTGACTTTGTAATTCTCGGAATTGCTATACAGTTTGCCCAAGATACATTTAATGACAATTACATAATTTTATTCTTTGAAGTAACGTGATTCATTTCATTAGGGACATAATATATAGATTTATAAGAAATATACTTGGTTCTTTAATAAGACACAATGTTTAATGGTCAATTATCTGAGTAGTGACTGCCACAAATCTTTCTTCATTTTCAAGATCATAGAACAACATCTCTAACACATTCCATATATATATATGCATTCACTTTAAAAGTGTTATCTGTAATTGTAGATCAAATACAACAGATGAAAATTGCCCAACTACCAGCTCTCAATGAAAGCACAAGAATTGGATGAAATTGAGTCCGTTATAGTAAATTAATACATTTTAAAAATCAATGATGTACGGCGTTAATGTCGGGAACGCACGTTGCGTGGCTTATGTATTTATGACTGTATGTATTCATAACTCATAACTAAGTTTACTCTGTAATAATTATATTAATAAAACATTTTCTTTCTGTATACAATATATTATATAATTTCTATTATTTATTTATCGTATTCTTTATCGTATCTTATCTTTATCTTTAGAAATATTTATATTAACAAAATATTTATTTTTTTATATTAACACAATATTTTTGTAATTATACTACTGTATACAGTGCGCAAGCGTCATTCGGTGACGCGCGTGCGCATAGCGAACAAAAGTCAGGCTCTATCTGTCCTTGTCGCACAGATGTTAAGGACAGTTTCGGCTAGGCTATTCCTCTTCCATGTATATAAGTTCTATTTTAGAAACATGTATTGGCTAATCGGGCCAAAATCTAAACTTTCAGTAGAAAATAAGCTCCTGCTGTACAAATCTATAATAAAACCGATATAGACCTACGGTATACAAATCTGGGGATCAGCAGCCAAGTCTAATATTGAAATTCTTCAACGTTTCCAATCTAAAATACTGAGAATGATAACAAACGCTCCATGGTTCACGGCAAATGAAGAAATACACAAGGATTTAGCTATTCCAAATGTCAACGAGAAAATCATAAAACACTGTACAAACTACCGTGACCGGCTGACTACTCATCCAAACTCCCTCGCTACAAATCTCATGAGGAAGACAAAGAAAGCACGTAGACTCAAACGGAAAATGCCTTGCGATCTAATTACCTAACCTAATCTAACCAATGATTATCCCGCTATCACTAATTTAAACTACAGCAGACTTACTGTATATATGTTTAAATTTGTTTATAGGAATGAGTCATAGGACACATCTTCTTTCATGTTACTTTACCAAGTCACTCCAATTTACTAAATGTCCTGATGGACAGATTGTAAAATGTTCTGGGATCCAAAAAAAAAAATTACAACCAGTCTTCATGAAAATCGAATAACTTTTTCTTTCTTTAGCTAAAATTGAATTCGCCTTCTTGAATTTTGTCATTTTATTCTCAGATTCAGGAATCGCGAAAATCCATTAAAAATTGATTTTCATGAGAATCCGGCTATTTGTAAAAAGTTTTCCGCCATCTTGGATCCGCCATTTTTTCAACTGCAGATTTATTATCGACTACAAACACATAATAATACCTTTGCATAAATACATGCACATTTTGTTACGAATTTATTCGCAATCGTATAGTTTCGATATTTATGCCCACTTTAAATCCGCCATTTTTAATTTAGGACGTAATCAAAATTTACACATATAACATTTAAAGCCTATGCAATTTTTAAAAAATAACAAATTAGAAAAAAAATTTTTTTAAATCCGTTAAGAATTCGATTGTCGGCTGAATTTTGTCCACAAAAGGTGCTTTTTCCTCTACTGTGGTGCCGGACGCTCGTAACTATGGAACGCTCAGGAACGTGCGCGTCACAAATGTAATGTGGCAATCTATCTTAGTTCTATTTATTATTTATTAATAATAAAAATAATTATTTTATTATTAATTACGTTTCAAAATACAAATATTTTAAATTGTTACAGAATATATACGTAATTAATAATAGAATAATTATTTTTGTTATTAATAAACAATAAAGAAAACTTAGATAGATTGTCACATTACATTTGTGACACGCACGTTCCTGAGCGTTCTTTAGTTACGAGCGTCCGGCGGTGTGGTAGCTAAAACGCAAGCGGTAAGAGGGGAACAGTAGGCGTAAGATAAGAAATCTGGCCGAAATTTGCAAATAAATCCCAGCACTGCTATATGTATAATAATCTCAATATACAAGATGTCCTAAACATTCTATTACGTACTTGTGAAAAGGTAGAGCGCAGTAAATTAAATAAAGAAGTCCCAAATCATTTAAGGATTTTTGCAATAATAATAGAAATATTAATTATTAAAATCGGACGAATGAGAGAAGTGCTCGACCGCTTAAGCTATAGCAGGGCCCGTGTCAGACATTGCCTGTTGGCGCGCGGCGAGATAGCGCGCCGCTACCCGTAGTTATCGCCATCGCCATTTTCACGTATATTATTACATTCTTACACCACTGTAACTCGATATTAGGCGCGCGATAAAGCGGTGGGCGAAGCTTATTCATCAACGTAACACTAAAGCGCCGCGCATCGCCATCATGTTTTGGAGAGCGTCCATCTGCTGCTTCCCGTCACGCCTAAGTCGAGTTACAGTGGAACGACCTTTCTCGTCGCACGCTTCTAGTCATGCATATTGGCCGATCTTTTTTAATTAATCTCTCGAAATTTTACGTGGTTTTTGCAAAATAATAGACATTTTAGTTTAGAAGACCTTTCGCTGCGTGCCTACACACTCATCGCTCCTTCTCTCCCCAATCACCGTTTCGCCGCGCGCCGCCATTATATTACAGTGAGACTACCTTCACGCACTTCTAGCCTCGCGCATTGGCCGATCTTTTTTAATTAATTTTTCGTTAATTATTGCGAATATTGCAAAATAGTATAGTACTTTCCTTCTTAATTTGCCAATCTACCTTCACACTTCGGGACTGCAAAAATGTTCCTGACATCCTGTATTTGTTGCAATGATTTAACACCTCCGATGATGATCCAATTCTTGATTAAATCTGATTTTTTAACCCCTATACATCCTGCACGCATTCAAGCTTAGGAGCAAAATGTTTGTTTTCTTAATATTTTTGATACGCTTTACACACTGATATAAATTATCAATGGTAGCCTCAATTCAGGACACAGTTGTTTATTATCAATGGGAATTTTCTTTATATTGCAATGACAAAAACATATTTGATTGTTACAGGATAACCTGTATAACTTGCAACAATTTTCATGTATTATATTTTAAAATTAATAAAATATTATATTTCGTCATTAATAGTAGTTTGTATTATATTATTTATATTACTTAATTGGTATAAGTGCCAAATTATTTTATTTTAAATATTTATTTAATTTCACATCTTTTTATTTTTTATCGAATCTCTTAATTTAATACATAATCATTGATACTTGTATATTTTGATCAATTAAAAAGAACATCTTGTAATATATCAGCAGCTCCAAGAGCTCCACATTCTCAATTATTAAAGAAAAAGAGAGTTCAAAAAAGAAGATTACTTGTATATTTGGGGATATTAATTTCAAGCTCGCGTTTACTTTTTTCTTTTTTGATCAATACTACTTGCTTTCAAAATATGTAAACTTTCTTTTAACATCTTGTCGCTTAAAATAGTAATAAAAAATTAAATTATTAAAATCACTCATTAAAAAATATAAAAATTATATCATAGACAATTTATAGTTTTATTGTATAACAATAAATAACATAATATTTAATTAAATAATCTATCAATCTTTCTTTGTCGAGAAATCAATGATGTCGAGAAATTCATGAAGACGTGTAATAATAAAAAAAGCATAAAAATCAAAATAAAATTCTATGCTTAAAAATAAATTAATTCAGTAGTACATAAAACATAAAATCAAATTTGAAATAAATAAAGTTTTAACAATAAAATAATTATATTTTAAAAATTATACTATTTTATTCAGATTAAGATATAAACAAATGTTAATCAGTTTTTTCTTTTATAATACATATCAAAATCAAAGTCATTAAACAGTATACATATACCTATTAATATAAATAAATGTTGTATAAGTTTAATATCATTATATTCTATCAATATATGATAGATTTTTAATAAATTTTTTAAAAATTGCTATTTTTAAGTGCTCAACATTTTTTTACATCAAGTAATAATTTTAATTATTTCATTTTATACACTACTTCAAAATTAAAAGAAAATAATGTGGTTTATAAAATTAATTGTAAGGACTGTGACGCTTCTTATGTGGGACAGACAAAGAGTCAGACTAGATTAAGGGAACATAAAAATAATGTTAGCCAGTCTTTCAACCATCGGTCATCACTGACCACATTATTAATAAAAATCATTCCATAGGATGGGACGAAATTAAAATACTTGACCATGAGCCCCATTACTTTAAAAGATTGATCTCGGAAATGATTTTTATCAAAAAACAAAAAAATGGATTAAATAAAATTGAGGACTTATTAGCTTTAAATAATTATTAGCTTTAAATAATATGTATTTTCTGTTATTGGATTTCTTATGATGGTTTGTCTCACATTGTACTTGTTGTTTTTGGTCTATTTATATTGCGGTGAGAATAATGTATCTTCTCATTGTCTTACTGTCTGCCGTTGTCGCAACAATGTTTTTTAATTTTAATACTAAGACTCGAATCTGTGTGGAGGTTTCAAATTTTAGGAGATTTGGTAAGATTTTTTACTAATGATTTACTTTAATTGTAACGGTTCTTTATTTTTCGCGCAATTTTTTCTTTATTCATTCTTTTATGTTTTGTGTATCTATGTTTTGTGTTCTATGTATGTAATTTTTACCAGAAACCAAGCTGTTACACAACACACGTTGACTTCCTATATTCGAGATGCAATCACCATATTTTGAATTTTAACACTTCGTGACTGAAGAAATGCAAGTAAGCATCGAAACGTCTCACTTTTAGTCGCTCTCTTAATAAATGCGACTTATCGACATTTTTCTACTTTTTTGTTTTTTTTTATCATCCGCAGTTTAGTTCGTATTAGGCTGATTATTGTATCTATGACTTTTTAATTTTTAATTATTTCTTTTATATTCCAGACTTGCATTGTCTCTATATTTATTACACAATATCACTAAGTTTTTTTATTAAAAGTCGGTTATAAAGTAAATATTTGCTAAAATAATAATAAATTTTTCAAATAAAATCTAAAATGTTTCATTAATGTTAAAATTACACAATATAAATTAATTTGATTATAGTGCATTTTATTTTATATAATTTCATTAATTGTTATTTGGAAAGGGAAAGAGAGAAAAAGAGAGATACAGAGAGAGAGAGAGAAAAAGAGAGAGAGGGGATATCATTTTAAAGTGTGTGTAACATACAATTTTATTTTCACTAATTACTTTTCTTACCTTTTGTGTACTT